CCACCTTTCCCCCCCCCCCCCGCAGTGACACCGTGAATTCTCTCCTAGGCCCACCCATGGACCCCGATGAGGACTCGGACAACAGTTCAGTGTATGTGCAGGGACTCAATGATAACGTGACCCTGGAGGATCTGGCAGACTTCTTCAAACAGTGCGGTGTTGTCAAGGTGAGGAGGATCAGGTTGGCCCTCCCGCAGGCAGGGCGCGGGGGGATAGGGGGTTGCCCACCTCTTCCCCTCCCCGCTTGGGCAGCAGCCGGGCGTTGAGCTGTAGCTCGAGCTTTCCCGAAGAACCTGGGTGGAGTTTGTCCCTCAACGGCACGATGAGGCTTGTGGATCTGCCGCTGGTGGGACGTGGGACAGCGCGAGGGGTCAGGGAGGGCGCAGCTGGGTTCGTGTGCTGCCCGGGGCACATGGGAGAGGCCCGTCGGGCCAGGCAGCGCTGCTCTGGGCCGGTCCCTTTGTTCGTGGTGTCGTCTGGGCAGTAGCTGCCACCCTGGGTAAGCCAGAGGGGCCCGTTCTGCCAAGGAGTCGCCGAAATGAGGCTCGGTTGTCTCAAGCCAAAAGCAGAACAGAGGAGAGTAAATCCCCGCTCAGCTTACGGGGAGATGTGACTTGAGGTGACGTTTTGCTGTCCTGCTAGGTGAACAAGAGGACCGGGCAGCCTATGATTAACCTCTACATCGACAAAGAAACCGGCAAACCGAAAGGCGATGCCACAGTATCTTACGATGACCCTTCTACCGCCAAAACGGCTGTGGAATGGTTTGATGGTGAGTGTGCGGGGTGTGTTGTGGGATGGAATCGCTTCGTTCTCGATTTCAGGACTAAGTTCTTGTCCGACCAAAGTCCCCGTTTCCATCCCCCGTGCGTGGAGGATCGGAGTCGTTTCGGGCGAGCTCTGGGTGGTCAAGCTTTTGCCTAAGGAGTTCCGGGGTTTTACTGGAACGGATAAACGTGCTTGGGTTGTGGTTGTCCTCCGTCGCCCAGGCTTCTGTCACCTGCCGCCTCCGGTAGCGGGAGTTTCTCTCAGTCCCACGGGTGGAATTTTGCCCTTCTGCTGACTTTGACACTCGGGTAAAATTTTCCGCGCGATGAACGACGGCGGGCGATAGCGGGGGCCGACGAGTGATGCTCTTGCCCTTGTGTTCCTCCTAGGGAAGGATTTCCAGGGGAGCAAGCTCAAAGTGACCCTCGCGCGGAAGAAGGGCCCGATGAACAGCCTGCGAGGCGGGATGCCTCCCCGTGAGCAGCGGGGAATGCCTCCCCCTCTCCGCGGAGGTAACGTCCAGCCCCCCCCCCCAAGGGCACGGCCTTCTCCTCCGCACCTGGCCGGTCACTCCCGGGCCTCA